CCAAAATAACACGCACAATATCCACATCCCCATTCTCCTTTATGGAATTTCCCCCCTACTATTTTAGTGTTATTAATACATTAACTTTAATTTCTAATGTTAAGTTCAGCATGTTTGTGCTTAATTTGCCTGGAACTTATTTAATTTGAAAGGATCATTAAATTTAGTTGTATAAATTATTCAATTGGAATTGAGGATGTTTAATTTGATGAAAATTGTGGAGTTGTGTTTGATTTTAATGGAACTGTATTTACTATATATCATTCCCTTTTTTGGGCTCCATTAAGATTAGATTCTGGGGGACAATGTGCTTTGAAATAGTGAGTTTTTGGATAATGTGTGGTTAAAAATTAAGGAAAAGTTTTTTGTTTACATGTAATACTAATTTATTGGAGAATATGTGGTTGAAAATAAGAACAAGAGAAATAATTTTATTTATTTATTTTTTTTTTTTCTAAGAATGGAGTCCAAACAAAGGGCTAAGTGAATTTTCTCTGAAGTATAGTGAATTCCACTCTAAATTAAAGTAATTTTTCTTTGTTTGGTAAGTAGCTAGTTAAAATTGGGAAAAACATATATAAAATTGAAATGAAGCCATTATACAGTGTTCTCAAAGTAGAAATTCCATAGGGAACAATTGTAAAAGGTTGTAACTATTTTAGTACTATTATGTTTTTGCTGTCATTTTCTGTAATTAAATCTTGGCCCCATTGGAACCAGTTGTTGGCTTTGCCATGGGTCTCTACACGCGATCACCTGATCACATTGCTTACTGTAGAGTTCTTTATTCGGAGTCACCGTCTTGGTGGGCGATCACTAAGCATATGAAATATTGGTCTATAGAATTAGCAGTGGCATGAGTGTAGTTCCTTTCCTCTTTGTTTCTTGTATATTAATTATTCTACGAGCATTAAATGAATGAAGGGATAATGAAAGTATGTGTAGAAAACTTGGACGTCCATTGTGCCCAGTGAGAACAAAATGAAATACGTTATCGTTTTGCCAAGATATTTTTCCAATGTAGTTTGCTCATATATCCGTGTGTAAGAAAGATTACCAAGATCAAATGGAGCCAGTTTACTTTGATTCTTCTATCTATTTGCTAGGGTGAATAAATGTAATTTGGTCAAAGAACAGAGGATGAAATTTGTGAATCTGAAATGTGCACATTTGCTATAAAGCTAAACTGATACTGTTTAGTGAGGTGTTATATCTCTGTATCAATCTTGGTAAATCTTGTACTGGCTATGATAATTTCTATTTTTTTCTGGGACTTTACCTGATGCATTGCTAACATTTCTCCAATGTAGTTGTATAATGCTCCCATGAATGACTACCTTGCAAAACTAGTATTGAAACCTTTGGCCTATGATCGCCGATGGAAGTTTATATATGAGCCTCTGCAACAGGATGTTCAGCTTGTCTCCAAGAAGATCCCCATAACAAAATTTCTGAATCTTCAGGTTTGATGGTCTCGTCCTTGCTTCTTTACCTCTGGCCCATATGGTGAGGAAAATCTCATTTTGAAGTAATCCAGGTAGGAGTAGGCCATAGCTTTCAATTGCATGCTACTGGTTGGAAATGGAAGCTGACGACATGTTTGGGCGGAGATGGTGTATCCAGGATTCGGAATAAAATGTCCCTAGGCTTGTGTCCAGGAGTGGATTTCCAATGTAGTTGTATAATGCTCCCATGAATGACTACCTTGCAAAACTAGTATTGAAACCTTTGGCCTATGATCGCCGATGGAAGTTTATATATGAGCCTCTGCAACAGGATGTTCAGCTTGTCTCCAAGAAGATCCCCATAACAAAATTTCTGAATCTTCAGGTTTGATGGTCTCGTCCTTTCTTCTTTACCTCTGGCCCATATGGTGAGGAAAATCTCATTTTGAAGTAATCCAGGTAGGAGTAGGCCATAGCTTTCAATTGCATGCTACTGGTTGGAAATGGAAGCTGACGACATGTTTGGGCGGAGATGGTGTATCCAGGATTCGGAATAAAATGTCCCTAGGCTTGTGTCCAGGAGTGGATTTCCGTTTTGGGTGGAGAGCAGATTACGTTCTTCCAGAAATTACTGGGTGAGGTATCTTGTTCTATTTTGCATTTACTAAAAACTGCATATCTCAGTGTGGTATTCTTCTTGTTGGATTGGACAATTTTTGTTCAAGCCCGTATTCACTTCTTTATTGGTTGGTAGAGCGCTCGGCTGAAAATTTGACCTCTACAGGGCCGTGGGCACCGATGCACCATTGTTCAACATGAATTCTGGACGTTTACAGGCATCACTTGACAGAATCGAGGCCATTTTCACGAATCTTGATGCAACGTAACTGACACCTGGTATGCCATTATCAACTTCATATCTTGATAAGGTTTTTATCTAATGCCGCTTTGCTATATCTTCGTAGAACTTGTTCTTTTTACTGAATGGTATACTTCTCTTTTTGGTGTCGTAATGTTAGGCTGCGGAGGAGTACTTTGTACCTTTTTGCCCTGAATTCATATCACTCCCACCTAGACAAAAATGGGGATCCAATCGGGAGATGTGGCATAAAGACTCATCGAGGTTGGTTTTGAACATTCTCTGTAATTATTTTCGTATGAACAAAGATTTAGCCCTTGTTTGAGCCATATTCTTTTGGAAAAATACATTTTTCAACAGTATTTTGATATCATTTCAACCACACATTCTTTAATAAAATAATAATACATGCAAATTCAAAACATTTCCTTATTTTTTAACTACACATTTTCCATCAATACACTATTTAAAAATTCATTCTTCCCAAAGAAATGGGGCTCAAACAAGAGCTTAGTAAGTACCTGTGAAAATTCTTTTGCTGTCTGGATGAATAATTCCAATATGTTGATATAGTGTGTGGACTATAGCCACCATAAGAGCACTACGTTGTTAAGGGTAGGTATATCCACAGGACCATTTTTTTTTTTTTTTATTTGCACTACATTTGAATTTTATTGAAGGTCTTCAGCTTCTTATAACGGTTTTTGTTCAAATGATCGTTTTAGCGTGCTTTGAAATGAGGTTCACACACACACAAACACACACACGCTCACTCACACACACACACACATAATTTGCTCAAGTATGAGGGCAAATAAATCTTTATATACCTTAACGGATTTCTTGGATGGTAGGTACTAAATGTTCTATCGGGAGATTACATATAAGAATGAGATGGTAAAAACTTTGAAGACCCAGGGGCAACGATGAACAAAGGTCGAAGATCATTAGTGCAATTAAAATGAGGTGCAATAAATTGAGCCCCATTCTTTTGAAAAAAATACATTTTTAAACAGTATTTTGACATTATTTTAACCACACATTTTTCAATAAAATAATACTACACAAAAATTTAAAATTTTTTCTTATTTTTTAACTACACACTTTTCATTAATACACTATTTAAAAATTCATTCTTTCCAAAGAATGTGGCCAAAACAAGGGCAAAGTCTTGATACGGC